AGTAAAAATAACAGAGGAAATCATCAACAAATGAGAGTTTCCAAGATTTTATGAAGGACAGAGAAAATGGACGGATGAAATAGGTAGAGAAAGCCACAGCCTAGAGTATGTCACCATGGATAGGAGCCAGCCTGCTTAACAGAACACGGGGCTGTGTACCCTAACTTATCATGCAGAGAACTGAAGACAGGAATGCAAATAGCAACACTACTTGAAGATCTGTACATAGGAGTAACAGCAGGTACCACCAACCCCTTCCACAATCTGGAGCACAAGGCAGCGAGCTACAACACTGAACAGATCTTCCCTAAAAAACTAAACTGAAACAAGCAAGGGCTTCTAGTGAGGCAGTGTCCCAAATAAAGCCCCCCTTAAGCCAGCATCTGAAAGCCTGTACCCTATGAGCCAGCTCTCAATCTGCCCATCCTAAAGCGAAGCCTGTAAGTCACTGTCCCTCTCCCAGGGACATGCCAACAAGAAAAGGTCACTTGAGAGACTGAAGAGGACACAGTCCTTCTCATATTTAAAAAGGTGAAAACCAGTGCCATCTAACCACCTTTCTTAAACATGGACAATTTAAGGCTTACCAGGCATGTGAGAACAGAAAGTCCCGGATAGGCAAACAGAATTAGTAAGCCCAGAGAAAAGCAGTCTTTCAGAAGAGGGCTTTTAGAAAGTGCTAATTTATATAGAAAAAAAAAAAAAAAAAAACATGAAGATATTTAAACCCATACAAAAGGATAGAATCTATGGGGAAAATCAACATACAATAAAATGTTCAGAGAGATTAAATATGATTGCTGAAATTAAGTTTTCAACACTATTGGAATATACAGTTAAGAAAAATTTACAGAACAAAAAGAAAAGATGAGAAGTAGAAAAAAGGCAAAAAGGGTCTCCCTGAACTCTAGGACGGAGGTCCTTCGGATTGAAGAGCCTCACCGGACTTGGCAGATGTGCACCACGCACACTTCCTCCAAGCGCTGAGGAGCGCGGACAGCCGGCAGCCTCCGCTGCACGCTCCGCAGTCACAGCGAGGGAGGTTCTTCCCAGCGGCTGCTCAAGCTAAGGACACAGCACAGGCAGCGGCACTAGGGAAGAGCCACTTCCACTCAGTGAGGGACTCCCGCAACCTGCCCCCAGATTGCCCCCGCCCCAAGTCTTCCTCAGAGCTGTCCGGGGGCTGAAATGTTCCCACCCAGTCTTCCTTCCTTCTCTCTCCACTGGCAGATGTCAGACCTGGATCACAGTCCCAAGGTCCTCTCCTCCTAATCCGGAACCCTCTCCCCCTTAACCCTTCACGTGTTCTTCCCCCATCACTCTCGTCAGTGCCCAGCTCCTCCTTGGAAGCTGCTTGTCAGAGAAGACCAGAACTAACATAGCAACGAATGGAAAGAATTTCACACTGTGATTTTCAGATCACTAAAGGAAAAGAAAAAAAATCTTTACAAAGTTTCTTCAGGAAAAAGTCAAGTTACTAATAAAGAAAACAATCAAATTTTCTTTAGATTCTCATAAGCAACAATGAATATTAAAAGCAAATATACTGTAACTATATTAAAAGATCACTATCCCAAATTTTAGACATAGACTTCTACACCCAGATAAATGCCAAAAAAAAAAAACCAACGGGGGGACTGACATGTTCACACATCAAGATTCAACAATTTTATATTCCACATACACTTTCTAAAACAATTTACTTCACAGTGAATCCCAGCAAAATAAAAGACACCAAAGTAACAACAAAACAGAGGATCCAGACGGTAAAGCAAAGCAACCCCAAGAAATCAGTACAAAGGCAGGCTTTGTTCAAAGGCCTATGCAGCAAGAGGACAAGGACCTTCAGGGCGCGTCTTTACCAAAAAACAAATAAATAAAATAAAAACCACAACAGAAAAAATAGCAAAGAAAATTTTAAAACTTTAGTAACGACAAGTAATACAAAGAAAAAAAAATAAAGAAAACACATTAGAAAAGTTAAGAAAGGTCAGCCCCAAAGCCAAAGAGGCCAAGAATAAAACAAACTAAACCGTGCCATTATTGTAGGCTGCTACTGCCAAATGGGGAAACACAAAGGTAAGAAAAAAGTTACTCATTTGACTCTAATGCTCAAGAACAGTCTGAGTGATCCACAGAAATTATGTCACTCAGATTGATAGAGAAGGAAGCAGAAACTTAAGAACATGACTTGCTATGACAGAATAGTATTTAAATGATAACACACTGACCCTATCAACCATGGGACAATTACAAAAGATAGGTTACACTTGTACACAGAATAAAGCTATTATAAAACTTGAAAATATAAACGTACAGCTAATGTAAAGTAGGACACTGGCCAGAATAGGAGAGAAGAGGAGGGGGACAAAGGGCACAAGCACCAACAGAGGTTTAAATATTTTTCAGTTACAAGGTTATCGATATAAAACTTACGTAAGTATTAAAACCCTAGTTTTTGATCAAGAAATCAATCTACAAATTGATAAATCTTGAAACAGGAATTAGATATAAGTGTACCTTCTAAAATTCTAGAATGACCAGAATTAAATAGAGAAAATTTTAATTTCAAAGTATTTAAAAACAAGTAAGAGACACTGTAGCTGGGGATAAGGAGTAAGTAGGGTGTTATGGTTTATGTCTGGATGTCCCCCCCAAAGCTTCACAGGATCATAGGGGGCAGGCTTTTCAGTGGCCACTGAATCTAGAGTTTGCAATTAATTCATGATCTAATGCTGGGATCAAGGGTGTGAATGCTACACCGGCTCTAGGGTGGGTAACCCGCATACAATATAAGGGAGAGAAAGAGGTCTGCCTTGTCTCCTCTTATCACTTCCTTCTGCTGACATGAACTGTTGCCCCTCTACCGTGTGTCACTCTGCCTTGGAGCCAACCAATTATAGACTAAAGCATCTACAAACTGTGGGCTAAATAAACCTTTCTTTCTTTAACTGTGGGTGTTGGGTATTTAGTCTCAGCAATGAGAAAAATCAGACATGGGGGTAACTTACTATATAAAGATACTAGCTGGGTGTGGTGACACACTCCTGAAATCCTAGCACTCTGGAAGTTGAGGCAGGAGGATTGTTGCAAATTCAAGGCCACCCTGGGCTACACAGTGAATTCAAGGCCAGCCTAAACCATATAGAAAGACCTTGTCTCAAAAAAAAAGATACTATTGTTTTCATTTGGTTATATTACTCTAATAAAAAATGAAAGCTAAATACATTGTTCATTTACTCTATAAACCCAAAGTATTTTAAGCTAATCAGCCTACATCAAGCCTTCCTGCCTTCCACTATGTTTTTATCCCACGTTCTCCTTATCTCCTCCATAATCCTGCTTTCTTAGTTTGCTCCCGATCTTTATTATTTGATTCTCTTCTGTCCTCCCCTTCTTCTATGTTAAGCCCTAACAAGTCTCTCCAATCCTATGGCAAACAAAACAAAATTCCCAAATCTGGCTTTTAAACAGAGTAATCGTTGTCCATTTAGGCTCTACACCAAAATGTTATAAATGAGATAGCTTATAAATCACAGAAATTTATTTCCCAAGGTTCTGGAGGCTGGAAAGTCCAAGATAAAAGCACTGACAGGTTCAATTTCTATTAAAGAAGGCAAGTTCTCTAACAGAGAGAGCAAGAAGGGGTCAACATGCTCCCTTGGCCTCTTTTATAAAGTCAAAATCCCATTCACAAGGATGCCAGCCTCAAGACCTAAAGGGACCCGCTCCCAAAAAGGCCCCCTCCTAAAAGGGCCTATCGCTTACTACTACCGGACAGGATTTCGATATATGAATTTTGAGGGATACAAACATTCAGACCATCGCAAACATCAACGTAATGATTATTCTGTATCCTTGTGCCATGTAGTATTTTATCCAAGCATTATACAGCCTGTCTTTTTAGGCTTTTTCTCCAAGGCCAGCATGCTAAGAGGAGAGTGGAAATACCTTACAGGGCCAGTGTTCCAAGTAACATGCAGGAAAGGCTAGCACGATGTGTTCCAATTACAAAAGCATCACTACTTTGTTCAAGAACATCTGTCTTCGGCACTGAAGAAAACATCCAAGAAAACAACTAAAACAACCAACTGGTTAACATAAGTACTGTAATATTTTTTAGTTATGTTTCACTGTCTTTCCTTTATAATCATACTAATGTGCAAGACTGCTAATAGAATACCAACCTTAAACACTCTAAAGATACTGAATTGGAAGCTCAAAATGATGACACACTTGTCTCAGTACAGCTAGCTGTGGAGTTCCCTGCGACTCCCAACGGGTTAATCAATGTCTGCTCAGGTTGCCTAGGGGTGGCGGGGGAGAACTCCCAATTCCAAAGAGCAAAAAAGTCTTGAAGACAGGATGTTTTGCCAACTCACACAGAGATGCCCGTATGGGGACAAGGAAGCTCCTCAGAGACAATCAGATAAAAATTAATTATTCAGCCAAACTGTCACCATCTTTGCTGGCCTGCCTCGCTACCTGAAACAAACATCTGCACTCAGCAGAACTCTATGTCTTTGTTGTTCCTCAATCAATCTGGTGGTCTGAGTCAGTTCAGGGCTTCACCCCATGCTGGTGAAGTCCCCTGCCCCCCCGCAAAAGACACCCTCTATCTCTGCAGTCCTAGTTCTTCTCTCTGAAGGCTTCACTGGCCCAAACCCAGCAGCTATCCAAGAGCAAATTTCAACATTTCCCACAGAAAACAGTAAACATTTAAAAAAGTAAGAGGGAAAATGAAATAAAACTGTACAAAAAAACTAGTGAACAACTAAGATCAAAATTCTGAAATTCACTGTAGGCACTATGCTGGTTTTCTTTAAAATATAATCAATTTTCACTTCTTAAAGTATATTAATTTGTTGCTTTGGGTCACCCATGTTTATTTGCAAGAAAGAGGGCACATTTTTCATAAGATAATCAAATCAGCCCCACAAAAAGATTTAGTTTGGAACTTCACTTGCTGGTACAGAAAAAAACTAATTTATGAAGCCATATTTATGGAAAAACTAGTTGATTTTATTGTCAATGCCAAATAAGACTTTAAATCAATTAAAATTTATTTAGGCATAAAGTTACTTTCACATTTGTCTACAATGATAGTAAATACATTTCTTGGCATAAAAGTAACCTTTGTTTGCAATTTAAAATATCCTCAACTGAAAGATTACATATATAAAACTCCTCTTATTGTTTCTGTAATAGTGGACTAATCAAATTAAAGTAGTTGTACTGCTTAGAATAAAATAAAATGGAAATAATTTACTCATAAGATTCATATGTAAATCATCTTTATTTACAAAATACTATCCTGAGAATTATAATTTCATTAAGCTTCAATTTGAGCAAAAGTATAATCACTTAAGTAACAGCAGTTACTTAAACTGAAAATGAGATAAAATTACTTTTGAAGAAAAATCAAAACTATTGTCAGGTTTCTTGCTGTGGCTCTGGATGTTCAGCAGCAGGCTCACTTGAAGGCGGCGTCAACCCTGGAGGGAGCTCACTTCTACTTTCAGAATGTGGGGGTGGAGGGGGGAATCCAGCTCTCGGGGGAAGATAATGAGGAAAACCCCGTGGTGAATAGACATTTCTCACTGTTCAAAGAGATTGGTAAAAAAACATTTTGTAACTTTAAGAACCTGAATTGCAGCCCTATTAAAATCACCAGCTTGTAAGTTCCAATATCTATTCTTATATTCAAAAACTGACACCAGAATAATTACTTAATCTAAAAGTTAACTTTTTACATGAAGAAAAATATTCTTTTTTCAACTGTATACGGTTAAAGGGAATATAATTTTAAACACAATTTTTATAAAAAAAAAAGAATTATTTCATAATATACAAAACTCACTTTTAAAAACCTTTTCATGTAATAACATTTCCACCACTTAACATTCAGATCAGTGATTCCGACTATGTATTATACTACAGCATTTCCAGTGACACCAAAATCATCTTAAAAATTCCCCTAACAAATCTTAACAGAGAAGAACTGAGAGAATGACAACGTAAGACAAAAGTACGGACTTTTGTCTATTATTTGGTAACCACGTATTTATTCTGCAGAAACTTATAGTTCTAGATGGTAGAGTATAGCTATAAAAATAACGTTATTCCTTTTTTCTTACATGAGACTATGAAAGATTTTTCAATAAATTCAACATAATAAATACACCTTAGGTTTTAAATACGTAAGACTACATGGGTACTACTTCTGAAAGCGACTTTTAAAAATAAATTAGTAACTTTTTTTTTGAGAAAGGGTCTTGCTGTGTAATTCAGGCTGGCCTTGAACTCATTATGTGGCCTAGACTAGCCTCAAACTCATGGCAAGCCTCCTGCCTTAGCCTCCCAAGTACTGGGATTACAGGTGTGCACCACCACACCCAGGTTGCCAGTAATTTTAATCCAAAAATATAAATTATAATGAACTAATTGCCAAAAATAACAAGTTTCCATTGAATGAGCCAGACCATGGTGGCATATGCCTGTAATCCCAGCTACTCAGGAGGCTGGAGCAGAAGGAACACAGGTTTAACGCCAGCCTGGACAAACTTAACGAGACCTTGACTCAAAATAAAAATGGGCTTGGGGATGTAGCTCAGTGGTAGAGAGCTAGTATAAGGCCCCGGGTTCAGTTCCCAGGTTTGGGAAAAAAAAAGAGGGATATAAATAATTTGTCTTAACGTAAGACTACTGCAAAAAGTCAATGATTTTCCAGACTACTACAATACAGAAATAGTTCCACATTGCCGGGCATGGTGGTACACAACTGTAATCCCAGCACTCAGGAGACTGAGGCAGGAGGACTGCTGTGAGATCAAGGCCACCCTGGACTACATACTTAAATCCCAGCCTGAACTGCATAGTAAGACCCTGTCTCCAAAAAAAAAAAATTAGTTTCACATTATTAAGATACATCAAGTTAAAGCCTCACTATAGTCTAGTGGTATTTGGTTGCCCTTCAATTTGGAAGAGTAATGGTACATTCACAGAATGTCAGAAAGATTATTCTTCTACTGTATTACCATAAGAATAGACAGTAAAATCAGTATCTTTGATTTACTGTATAAAACACAAATGAAGTTTTTAAAAAGTAAGGCTTACTTGGGAATGGAGGAGGTGGGCCAGAGAACTCCCTTGGAGGAAAATAATCTCGAGGTGCTCCATACATGTTTCCTGGAGGAGGTAGAGGAAAAGGAGATCCTCTCCTCATGACCTGGCTCCTCGGATACATCAGAAATGGCTGACCTCCAACTGGAGGAAGAGGTGGAAGAACAAAGCCAGGACCAGTTGCTTTGCTTTCAGCAGGAAGAGAAGAATCAGGCACATTTGAATTCTGTAACAAATCCACATATGGCAGTCACTAAAACAACCACAAAACTCACAATAATGTTGCTAAGTATCTTAGGCACAGGAGAAAGCAGATACACAACTAGGCAGAAAGCAGCCCATAGCACTCTTACAGAGCAAGATCCCGCTTTCCCCGTTAACATGTCACCTGGGCTTATTAACCCAAGAGAAACCAACCCTAGGGGCTGGGGGTTTAGCTCAGCGGCAAAAGTGCCTGCCTGGCAAGGTTGTGAGTTCGGTTCCCGGTACCGGAGAAAAACCAAAAAAAAAAAAAAAAAAAAAGAAACCAACCCTAACCAACAGAGTAGTATTCTGGCTAAAGCTAAAGTACACATACAGTTCAAGAATTTCAAAATACACACTTTTTTAAAAATTCTGAGACAGAGTCTTGCTAAGTCACTAAGTTATCCAAGCTATGCTCAAACTTTCAAACCTGTCTCAGCCTCCTAGAGTGCCGGGATTACCAGTGTGTGCCACCACACCCAGAAAAATGCACATTCTTTTATCAAGTACATACTGGGGAAAAAAGCAATGACAAGATGCTTATGTTTATATTTTCAGTGATACAGCCAATACTAGCCAAAATTAAGCAAATGCAGTAAACAAACTTGGGGTGCAGCTCAGTGGTAGAGCGCTTGCCTCCCACATAGGCCCTGGGTTCGTCCTCAGCACTGTAAAAACAGAACAAAACATGTCTGTATGGTCTTTTTGTTTTGTTTTATTTTTTCAAATAAAAATCCAAGGGGGAAAAGAATTCAACTTCTTCTTCTACTAATAAACTAATTTAAACCCTTAGCTGCAAGTTGTACTTTATCTCCATAGTTTAAAATTCAGGCAAAAAATAGCTTTAATGCTAAGTAGGAAGTGAATTATATCAAAAGAAAAGATTTATATCACAATTAGCTGTATTTCTATTCTATTAAAAAAGTGACTAGAAGGCTCCTTAATACATGGATAAAATTCTATCTTCCATACTTACACCAGGATCATCTTTGGTATCATTTCTACTCGATTCTGTTTCTGAAGACACTGGCCCATCTAGACATAGAAGTGAAACCAGAAAAAATACACGACTTATCATTTTATTCTTAGATTACTTCCTGACCATAGACGACACACTATTTCCCCACTCCACTTGTCGGCAAGCACTAGCTTAACACTCTTTCCCTTCCTTTCTTCCTTCTCCTTTTTCTTCTTTCCTTTCTTATTCATCTACCAAGTAATAAAGATTAGCCATTTGTTTTTTTTGAAGAGCAGAATATATTTATTGAGGGAAAAAAAGCTTTTGTCCAAGAGAGGGACAGAAGGGGGGACCCAAGTGGGTTGCCCAAGACTCTATCTTTTCTAGGGACTTTTATAGAGCAAAACCACGAGGTGAGGTGGGAAGATCAGCCATTTGAACTTAGCCCATTTCTAAATAAATGTTCCTGCCTCTAAAGCATAAATGCAAACTTCTCTCTGACCACGATCACTAACTCTTCTCTCTTATGGTCACTCTTCCTACATCTGTCCTTGGATACCACTGAGGCTTCCAGTCCTCCAGTGTAACTCAATTTTGTCCTTTCTTCCCATCTCCCCCTACATCCCAAAGTCCATCACTTCATCCAGCTATTAGTATCTTTGTCTGGTTGATCATTTTTCACTTTTGCATCTCAACATAATAAGCTCTGCTTCTACTTTGCTTATCTATGTCTAAGCCACCTAACACTCACAGGAGGGGAGAAAAGGCTTATGCAGCTGGTACCACTCCGATGCCTCCACCCAATCTCAGGTGCACACAGCCTCTCCTGCCTTCTGTGTCTTCTAAGCCAGCTTTCTCCTCAGCAATCTGAACCTCTGTTCTCTTCAAACCTTTGAATCTGTGGTCAAGCATAAACATTTCACAACTGTCTTCCCCTACTATCAGGATCTCTTCCCCTACCTCAGGCTCCTTCCAGACAAACTACAACCCTGATCCTGTCCTCAGAATCCTTCTTCTGGTGCTTCCTTCAGGATCTTCTCCCCTCTATTGGCTCTCCCCCTCTCTTTCTGCTACCCCCAAGCCTTCCCTAGTTAAAACTGAGAATTAAGATTCCTTTCTAGCTCCTTCTCTCCTTCATCATCCACAGCTACTGAGTGTGTATTGTTCAGAATTCCTCCATTTTTTATCTCGTGTTACTGTAATATATTTGCAACATGTACTGTGTTCCACTGAAATTATTTCCTGCAAACTAAGAAAGTCTCTTTGTGTGCTAAACTAAAATAGATACTATTAGTCCTTATTTTACATTACAGTAGCCACCCCTTGCTTATTGTCTCACTTTCTGGGGTTTTAGTTACCTGCTGTCAACTATGGTATGAAAATATTAAGTAAAAAATTCCAGAAACAATTTAGAAGTCTTAGACAGCACACCCTTTTGAGTAGCAAGATACAGTGTCACACCGTTCTATTCTGCCTTGCCTGAGACACGAGTCATTGCTCTGTCCAGTGCATTCCCTCTGCACACCCTACCGGTGCATTAGCCGCTTAGCAGCCATCCGAGTTATCAGCCAGACTACTGGCAAGCACAATATGATGGTGCTTGTGTTCATAAAGTTACCATCAATTTACTTAATAATGTTCCCAATGTACAAGAGCAGTGATGTGAAGGAGGCTCTAGGGCACAAAATGTGTGTTACAGTTTGTGTCTACATGTCCCCCCCCAAAGCCTCATGTGGTCAAAGGACTTTTTCAGAAGTGGCGGAATCTAGACTGTGCAATGCTGGGATTAAGCGTGGGTGACTGCTGGATCAGTCTGGATAAGATAAAGGGGGCAGAAAGAGGCTTATGTTGCTTTCTGTTGCTTTTGGTGTCTTCTGCCACTATGAATGGCTGCTCCTCTGCCACGTGCCACCCTGCCTTGGAGCCAGCCTATTATGAACTAAAACCTCTACAAACTCTGAGTTAAATAAACCTTTCCCTCTTTAACGTTGGGTATTAGGTGTTTTGTCTCAGGAATGAGGAAAGTAACTAAAACAACAAGAACAGACAGATTAACTCTGATGCTATGTGGTAATGCCGCCGGGGACATAGGAAAAAATACAGTATATAGAAGGTTCACTGGTGGGGTCCTGAAACATACTCCCCATGAATAAAGGGGAGCAACTGTATGTTCCACCGCTGACCACACCCTCACTCTTGAAATGCTCTCAGCCTATTTCCTTAACAAGGCCCTTCTTTCTCTTTAGCTACTGCTTTTCAGGGTCACTGAAGTCCACTATCTCTGACCATCTTTAAGCAGTGGTATATCTGAAAGGCCACTTTAGAGTACTTCTTATTCTTCCCTTGAGAAATTCTAGCCACTCCTATAGCTTTAATTAGATATGACTTCCATCTCTGTGATGCAGATCCACATATTTTCAAGGACTTCTAAGCTTGACCCACCTCTTTGAAGTCATGAAGCTGTATCATCAGTGCTAAGTTTTTTTTGTAGACAGGGTCTTATTGTGTAATCCAGGCTGCCCTTCAACTTGCTTACGCAGCCCAGGCTGGCCTTAAACACACGGTGATCCTCCTGCTCCAGCCTCCCCAGTGCTGGAATTACAGGTATGTGCCACCATGCCGCGCTAGTGCTGCTAACTTTATTCAACGCGTAACTTACAATTTTTCTTATCCAACTTGCTCCTTGTCTCAGAATAATAATTGGTATCTCCCTCTATTTACTCAAGCACCACAGCCAGGAACTGGGCATCAGCCAGGGCTCCTTCTCCTGTACCTCCCAGAGCTTCAGTCCTAACTGCTAATTCTATTTCTTCCATGTCTATTCACATTGACCTAGCCGCTGTACTAAATCACCATCGTCACTCACACCGATCCCTGTCACCGTCTCCTGAAGTTACCCTGCCTCCAATCTTACTGTTCCCTAAGCCTCGTAACACAACCACAGAAATTTCTCTATAAAATGCAGAGCTCATATTATTGTTCTGCTTACACTCCTTTTAACGTTCTCCCATTATCCCGAGAATTCATAGGATCACCATAAGCATTAAATGAGGTCATTCATTTTTATACAATAAATGTTTGCTGACCACCAGTGCTATTCAGTGTTTGAACCATTTTTCTCACATTCACCTCCATGTACGGATATAAACCAACACACTAATATGTAAGTATTTAAGCTGATATATGTGTAACACAGCACAGGTCCGAGTTTCTGAACAGTCTGCAAGGTCCTGCAAAATCTAAGCCATGCTTACTTCAGAGGCCATTTGCTTAATTATTCCTTGGCACACTCCAGGGTACAGACATAATTTATTATGCACTCTTAACCCTGAATCCTTAAATATGCTAATCTTCATCCTAGAACAGTGGTGGCAAACCTACAGCACACGTGTTGTTTTTCTTTTAGGACAAAAGATGTTAACGTATGAGTTGTTTTTTCTAAACTAAACCTCAGGATTCAGGTTGAATCGCAATGCTGGTGCTCTGCAGTGAGTAAGTGGGTGATGGGCTGCACTCGGTCTCTAAAAGGCTGGGCATCACTGCTCTAGAACACTGCCATGCCCCTTCTGCTCCGCTAGCTCTGCATTTAATTCTCAGTGTACCTGCCACTTCCTTCAGGAAGCTCTTCTAGACTATTCACACACAATACACTACCTCTTCGTGTGCATTAGTGTCCCACATATTGCTACAACATTACCTACTCACAACTCTTGTCCTCTACACAGCACAACTTCCCATACTCCTTCATTAGACCTCGAGGTATAAGGTTTACTGGGCACCTATTTATCACTGACACAACAGTAACTACCATAATGCCTGTCTTTCGGTAAGCATCCAACAGATAAGTCAGGTACCACGTAACAATTTCAGTTCAGTGACAGACCAACCACACAGATGACAGTGGTGCCACAGATCATACTGCCTAGCAACACTGTAGCACGGTGATGGCAAACCTTTTAGAGACTGAGTGTCCAAACTGCAACACACAGCCCACTTATTTATCACAAAGTGCCAACAGTACAATTAAACCTGCACGCTGAGGTTTTAGTTTAGAAAACACAACTCATACATTAACATCATTTGTCTTCAAAGAAAAACACCGTAACAGAGCTTTCAATGCTAAAAACAGCTTTTTACTGAAGGGTGAAACCTTCCCTTTGGCACACTTTTGCACAATTAATGTGATCTTTACTATTGTATACATGCTGATAATTTGTCAAACCTTGGCCAGAGCGACTTGGCTGGCATGCCAAAAGACAGGGTTCTGCACGCCTGCTGCGGCATGCATGCCATAGCTTCGCCACCATTGTTGTAGCACCTTAGTTTGCATGAATTACATGCTCTGAAGTTCACAGAACAATGAAATCACCTAACAACACATTCTTTTAATTTCCTACAGTCTCAAAAATGAGTTGGTACTTCATGTAAAGCACAGTAAGTGAATACAACACAGGAATTCTATTGAGAAATGTATCCCAAAAGTGCATCCCTTTCAGTTTTGTACTAGTTACTCTTCTGACGAACCCTCCACTGAAAATTTCGCTGAGGCTAACATTACATGCACGGTGCTGTGGTAGTCCTAAGACTGAAGGGTGCAGAAGGCGACAGAATAACCAGGGGCTTTTCAGAAAAGGCAACTCCAAGTGTTGCCACTCAGCCTCGGTTTCCCTCATGCGATTCAGATGGAAATTGTGAATTGGCGAAGCGCAGCTCTGCTAGAGTCCTAATGTCACCGCATGATACCAGGTAATGCTGGATGCCAACAACTGACACAGCCACCGCTGGTCACCGCCACTGCCAGCTTGCGCTGGACGTGGCGGGTTGACTATCCTGGCACTACCTCTCTGCTGCTGCTCTTTGTTGGCTGCTGCTTTTCGGAGCGCTTCAGTATTAACAGCCCTGTTTATTCACTCTCTCCACCCTACTCCGGGTAAAAATCCTAAGTAGATTTATAAGACTTTTCGAACTCTACCCAAGAAATAAATCACAAGGAGGTTTACAGGAATACCAAAGAGAGTCTTTAACAAGGCCTGTGCTCCAGCACGTGGAGGCTGGTACACAGGAGGGAGGGAGCCCTCCTAGACTAAAGCCCCAAAGCACATTTCTTACAGCACAGCCCCGCCATTAAGTGACACACGACTACGGTAAGTACACTGACAGCTGGCTCTACAAGCCTTTCTTTTCATTAAAGTGCAGGGGCCAAGGCCACAGCTCTGGACTCAAACAGATGTATGCTCAAATCTTGCCTCTGATATTTCTGAGATCTTAAGCCTCTTTTGGAGCCTGTGTTTTTTTAACTCATAAAATGAGGACAATAAAAGTACTGACTTCATAGGATCACCATGAGCATTAAATGAGGTCATTCATTTTTATACAATAAATGTTTGCTGACCACCAGTGCTATTCAGTGTTTGAACCATTTTTCTCACATTCACCTCCATGTACGGATATAAACCAACACACTAATATGTAAGTATTTAAGCTGATATATGTGTAACACAGCACAGGTCAAAATACCAACCAACTAATAATATCATTTACATAGAATTTTTCTATTCACAAAACATCTCTACACACTAAACTCATTAAATCCTGGTAACAACCATGTCAACTGAGGAGTAACTCAACTTTACAGCTGCTTGTGCTAGCTCTGTTGTTTTGCTCATGCTCAGTTTTCCAAGTTCACTCCAAAGCAGCTCAAATGCCACCTCCTTTGTGGAGTTCATCTGTCTTTCACCAGGCCAGGAGCTCCGTCTCCGACGGCAGCACGCTCTCTATGGGACATTCCATCTGACCAGCATTAACTAAGCTTAAGTACTCATCTTCCTCTCTAATGAACTACTAGAATCTCACAGGCAGAAGTATATCTTCCCACATTTACATCCTATGCCACGTCACAGAGCGCCTCCTAACAGGCACTTAAAAATTATTCACTAGGGCTGGGGTAAAGTTCAGCGAGTGGTGGAGCACTTGCTCAGCATGAATCAGGCCCTGAATTCCAGGGCCAAGACCAAAAAAAAAACCCGGAAAGTTACATGTATTTTGGTTCTATTTAAGTTCTATATATATTTGGTTCTATTTAAGGTTCTATTTAAGTCTATTAAAAAGGGGGAAATTTTTCAAAAACCAAACAGAAAGAATTATCTTAATTATAATTAACAAAAGAAAATTACACTGTAAGGTCTGCATCTCTGCTTACTATTCAAAATATATTGATTTTCTAAAATGGTAAGTATTTCAAGCAGAGAATGTCCCACCAAAAACAGACTTTCCTGAGGAAACCTCTAAACAATACATTTAATTTTTTGCTTTTTAAAAATTACTTTTTTCTTATATAATCAACTTCTCACTGCTATACTAAATAATATATTTCCAATCTTTAGTGAGTGGCTGTGAGATAGTTCAACTGACAATAGACTGCTCAGTAAATGCTAGCTAAATAAATCTAACTCCGAAATGTTTAAACAAAGTAACTGACTAAACCACCAGCGTGTACCTAAACTATTTTCCGGTGCGCTTTCACATGCCCATCTATATATATGCTTGCCTAATTTCCTGCTTACTGAACAGCATTATATGGAAGGGAGCTAGAAAAATTTGAAGTTTTTCCTCATAGGCATACTTAGTAAAACCAAGCACCAACGTATGTTTAGGTGCCACTTCTGTGTACTACATAACAAGAAACACAAACAAAGAGTTTCAGGAAAGAAATCCAGCTTTAACAGCAAGTGAAGGCAGCAACTACATTAGCTTTTCATTCAGCTTCCAGTTCTTCAGTATGCCACTTTCAATCACACATGCACACCCACATGCAGGCAGATACACACACACACACACACACACAAAATTTCTTACCCACTTTATCCAAAGAAAGCATATTATAACTTCTGAGTTCTGCTGGTCCAGACAGTCTACCAGAATTAGAGTAGTATCTGTCTTGCCTTTGCAGTGGAAGAGCTGAATCAGGATATGGTTGGCCTAGAAAACACATTTTGGAAATGCCTTCTTTATTATATACTTTACTTACGCTTAATGTGATGAACTTAACACTCTGCTTCTACAAAAAAACTCTGACCCATATTAGTGACATAATTGATAATTAGTGACATATAACAAAACTACATATATCACTATAGGTTATAAGTATGTTTTGAATTAAACACAAATATGATTTGCTACTTTGGATTTTGAAAGTTTCTATTATTGTGTATAAAAATTGAGTTAAACCTAAGTATAAAATGTTTAAACAGGATAACATTATAATATGTGAAAACAATTGAGTTTAAAAATGTTTCCCATTTAGGACTTCTGGGAAGATGGCGCAGTAGTGAACAGCAGAGAAACAGCCTCTGAGATTTGGTGTCTAGATACCGGAATAAAGTAACGTAAGGAAGAGAAGGAGGGCAGTGGGTCCCTGGGA